CTGGCAGCTTTACCCCCCCGGGTGGGATACAGGCTGTTCCCTTCAAGCTTCAAGGGGTATCTCTCCAAGTGGGGTGGTGAGATTGTGTGGGTCTGGATGGGGATGGGGAAGGGGATCGTCAAACGCTACTGACCCCTTCGTCCAATCCGAGCATGCGTGTCCGCACTCTGGGTTCGGTGGCAACTCATGGGAGCCTCCCGAACCATCTTGTCGGCTCCTGCGAACCGACGCTAGTCGACGCTTAATCGACGCTAATGGACGCGGAATCTGCGCAAATCGGCGATATCTCATCCACTCCCAGACGCTAATCGACACTAGAAACGGAATTTCGGAGGGTATACCAGGCTCCCATGATCTTGGTCAGCGCCGACCTTGGTCAGCGTCAATTCGTTAATCATTCTCGCGAATCGGCGACGGCCGCCATGGATCATGACGAAAATCGGCATGGACAAGATCCCGCGACACCTTGGCCGTGGTCCCCATTCTTCTTCCCTCCACTCGGCTTCTTTTCGAGAGGATGGGGCGGACCACTGCGGGTGAATGCTGCGGTCAAGCACCGATGTTGGATGGTAACTCCGGGGAACCTCCCGTACAATCTTATCAGCTGTCGCGGCAGAATCGACGCTAGTCGACGCTTAGTCGCCGCTGACCAACGCTAAATCGACGTCAACCGACGCCAAATCGACGCCAGTCGACGCTAGCCGACGCTAAATCGGCGCTCTCTCATCGACTCACAGACGCCAATCGACACGCGTCGACGCTAAAGACGGATGTAAGAGGGTACAGAGGAGGCTAGTCCACAAAAAACCTTCCACAAGAAGCCCAACCCTGAGACCCCAGGACGTCCACTGACGTTTGGTGTGCGAACGCCACGCATCCCAGAGCAGAACCATCGAAGCTCAAGAAACCCAGGGCACCGTGGAAGCAAGCAAGGTGTTTTTTGACATGGATTCCCCACTGTATACCAGGCTCCCTTTGTTTTGCTACTCTGTGTCCCTCAATAGTTCTGGGTCCCAGGACTACAGGTACACCCCGGACTACAGGTACCCCCCCCGAACTACAGGTACCCCTCCCCCGGACTACAGGTCCCCCCCCGGAACTACAGGTACCCCCCCCTCAGACTACAGGTACCCCCACAGGACTACCACGCGTGCGTTGACGCGTGAACACGCGTTCCCCCCCAGACTGCAGGCCCCCCCCCCCAGACTCCAGGTACCCTTCCCCCGGACTACAGGTACCCCCCCCCGGACTACTACAGTCGGGACTGATTGGACAGGACACGCGAGAGGACACAAGACCCTTCCGAGGGCCACACTGCCACAGGAATGTAGGAAGCATGGGTCGCGAGACACAGGACACAAGGGTACCCTTGATTTGGCAGGGTCGACCTACTAATCTGGGCCGACTGTACTGGTACCCCACCCCGGACTACAGGTATCCCTCCCCCGGACTGCAGGTACCCTCCCCGGACTGCCGGCACCCCCAGAGCTGTCGAGGGACACAGAGTATACCCAAGCCAGCCCCCCCCCCTGGCCCTCTCTCCGAGAGGATGGGGCGGACCACTGCGGGTGACGGCCGCGGCCAGGCACCGAGGGAAACCACGGCGCGAGCCTCGCGCACCCGAAGGCCGTCGCCCGAAGCGACGCGGCAGCCCAGCCCCTTGGGTGGACCCGGCGTCGGCCCGAGACACCCGAGCGGACTTCCGGGAGGCCGTGCCGTGCCGGGTCGTCCCGCCTCGACGTCGTGCGCCGGCGGCCTCGCTGCGCCGTCGACGTTCCCTGCTGCCTCCCCCACAAGCACACACACACACACGCACACGCATAAATGTATACCCATGCTTCTATGTGTAAATCTACATATATGTATATATAAATAAATCATACAAAAATATATACATGGCAGCAGGCGTGGGCCGACAGCACTTCCTCTCTGCACCGTGAAAGCGAAGGCTGCTCGGAGCGTGGTGTTCGCCACACGGCGCAAGCCGTGCTGCGCAGCAACCTGCGGGCGTGGGCGCTCCGCTGTGCGGAGCGTGCCCGCGAGCTGCCCCGTGCAGGCGATGCGGTGCAGGCCGCGCGGCGTGAGCTGCGATGCGCAGGCTGCGCTGCCCGCCCCCCCCCCCCCGCGCCGAGGGCACGGGGCGCCCGCAGAGGCACAGGAAGAGAGGGAGGAGGGGGAGGAGGGGGAGGAGGGGGAGGAGGGGGGAGGGGGAGGAGGGGAAGGGGGGGAGGGGGATGGGGGAGGAGGGAGGAGGAGGAGGAGGAGGCCCGAGGAGGCGCCTCTGTGGGCGGGCACACGCGCGCCGACGCGGCGACCTAGGCGGGCCCACTCCCGGGGGGGCACGCACGTCGGCGGTGGACAAGCCTCCCTTTGGCAGACCTCCCCTTCGTGAACACGGCCCGGGGCCGAGACCGACGGACCTGGACCCGCACAAGTGACGGCCGCGACGCCCCCTCGCGAACCGCAAGCGGCCAACAAGAATTCACGCATCGACGTGTCAGGGCAGGAGGTCTGTCCACCCCCGAGCAAGGGGACCCGCGGAGCGCACGCGCGGGCGCCGGCGCGGCGAGAGACGCGCCGGCGGGCCCGCGGCCGGAGCACGTGGCGCCCGCGGCAGGGGCGCCGGGTGCGGAACTCTCCTGGGCGGAGGCGTCCGGCTACGGCGAGGGCATGGGGCAAGGAGCCCGTCGATGAGGGATCCAGGGTCCTGAAGCTGGTGGAGCACCGATCGTGGCGTGCGGGAAGCGGGAAGCAGCGGTGCGGGGGGCGCCCGCGCCATCACTGCCGCCCTGGATATCACTGCCGCCCTCATCGTATAGGGAGTCCTCCAGGGGCTGAAGCCCCCCTGGGCGCATTCCTTGACGAACACCCCCACCGTAGACGCCGAAGTGGGAGCCCCTTAAGCGCAAGCACCCTTTTGTGGGGAACAAGCGCACCAACGTTCGCAGATGCCGCGGATCTCTCGGGGCGGCGACGGACCAACTCCCCCCAGAAGCCCCTGGGGCAGTCTGGCGCCGACTCGGGAGACTGGCGCGGACCTTCGAAAATTTATCTCGCGTCTGGTTTTCTAGCTTCGGGACCCTGCGCCGGCGGTCTCGCTGCGCCGTCCACGCCTCTGCTTTCAGAAGGTGAGCATTTTTGCATTCGGCGGTTCGACATTGGGCGGAAAGGGGGGAAGGAAGAGGGGGGTCTGGCTCCAGACCTCTGCTTAGTGCGACTTGCGACTCTTTGCAAGAGCGCTGCCTCTGGGGGAGACTCCACCCGCTCGAAACAGGCACCGAACAAACAGCCAAGATCTACTCCATGGGGGGGGTTCTGGGGGCCCGCACCGATCGACAAAACAATGAATCACAAACAATGACAAAATACGTGTTCGAAAGCACTGCGTAGGCATTTGCTTCAGCAGGCTCGAACGGATTTCTCGGGTCGGGCGCGAGAGCCACCTCCTCACACACACACACACCCTGCTTCGGTGGCAGCTCATTGGAGCCTCCCGTACCATTTTGTTGAAGCTTGCGCATCGCTAAATCGACGCTGATCGACGCTAAATCGACGCCAATTGACGTTAGCCGACGCTGGATCGGCGCTATCTCATCGACTCCCAGACGCTAATCTTCGCTGGTCGTCGCAAAAGACAGAGAGCTAAAATGGTACACAAGGCTCCCATGCTTTGCTGCCGAACCTTGGGGTCTGGAGCCCGCCTTTGAGCAGGGACCAGCCTGGCATTCCTATAGTCCTACCACGAAGTGTTCCTAGAACCCCCGAAATGTTCAAACAACAAAAACAATGTTCTTAGAACACAAACCCGATGTGTTAAACCAAGACGATCCCAACCAGAAATGTTCTAAGAACATGTCGTGGGAACCGCAAAAGGTTCTTAGAACATTGCTTGGTAGGCCTATAGGCACGCCGGGACGCTTCTTTGGACGCCCGACATGGGTACCGAAAAAATGGGTACGATGCCCAACAACAAATGTTGTCCCAAACCAGCAGCGGCCGCTGTTGGGCAGGCGGCCTCCTGTCTCGAATGGACACAGGCCGCGGCGGCGTGGACAGCGAGGCCTGTTCAAAATGAACAGGAACTGCTGTTGGGCATTGTACCCATTCTTTCGGTACCCATTTCGGGCGTCCAGAGCTTCGCCACTGCTTGACAGATCGCGCTTGGTCTTCTGTCGGGGATCTTCTGACCCGGGTCAATCCAGACCCGGGTCAGCAGGACACCAAAAAACTGCAGCGCAGGAAGCACAACTGCAACGCAGGTCTTCGCAAAGCCGGGTCAGCCGACATGCGCGGCCGCCTCGCGGCCACGAGCGGCTCGCTAACCCGGGTCAACCAGAGGGGGTCTTCGCAGGATCCTGCAGGATCCGGTGCCCTGGCTGACCCCCATTTGCACTGACCCCCGTCTCTTCTTTGGACGCCCGAAATGGGTACTGAAACAATGGGTACCATGCCCAACAACAAATGTCGTCCCAAACCAGCAGCGGCCGCTGCTGGGCAGGCAGCCTTCTGCCTCGAGTGGGCGCAGGCCGCGGCGGCGCGGACCGCGCGTCCTGCTCCAAATGAGTCGGATCGGCTGCTGGGCATTGCACCCATTCTCTCCGCACCCACTTCGTTCGTGCAGAGCCTAGAAAGATGGCGCAGGAAGCTGGGGTGGGATACGCTCGCAGGTGAAGACGAGAGGGAAGAGGAGGAGGACGAGGAGCAAGGAAGAGGAGGACGAGGAAGAGGAGGAGGAGGAGGAGGAGGAGGAGGAGGAGGAGGAGGAGGAGGAGGAGCAGGAGCAGGAGGCAGAGGGAGGGGAAGGAGGAGGAGAAGGAGAAGGAGGAAAAGGAGCAGCAGGGGAGGAGGAGGAGGAGGAGGAGGAGGAGGAGGAGGAGGAGGAGGAGGACGACGAGGAAAAAGAGGAGGAGGAAGAGGAGGGGGAGGAGGAGGAGGAAGAGGAGGAGGAGGAGGAGGAGGAGGACGAGGAGGAGGAGGAGGAGGAGGACGAGGACGATTCTGGCCTCGAGGCCGTGCGCCGGCGGCCCCGCCGCGCCGCGGGCCTCGAGGCCGTGCGCCGGCGGCCCCGCCGCGCCGCCGGCCTCCGCCCGGGCCTTGCGGGGAGAGGCGGGCGGCGGAGCCGCAGGCGGTGAGGGCCAGTCTCGACTTGGATTCCAGCGTGGGTCGAGGACGACGACGGGAAGCAACATGTCCCGGGTCCGCATATAGCCATCTGTCTGCGATTCGGGTGCGCGCGCTTTCTTCGAGGCACTTCAAGCCGGACCCATACTGACTTCACTACTTCCTCAAAACTGTGTAAACGCTCTGTCCTCAGTTCCCTCTCCTATACAACGGCCTCATAACAGAGGGGCAGTGGATTCCAAGTCTCGACTACAGCCGAGGCGTTGACCTAAGGAACGAGGCCCCTGTTTTCCATAAGTTGAACTTCGATCTCGTATCGAAAAAACCTGAGGAAAATCCAGGGCAAGCTGCGAAGCAATTCAGGAGCACGGCGCCCCTCCCCAACGAGAAGGGTTCCCTCTTCAGGGCCCCGACTGTGCACGCAAGCGTGACCCTGGGCAAGAGTAGCCTGTGGTGCGCGGCTTTTTGGGGGCCGCGGGGGGACTGAGCACGAGCGCGCAAAACGCTACTGCAGCATCGCGCTCGGCGATCGGGGGACCCCGTTGGGCCCGCACCAAGGGTCACTCAGGCGAAAGGTCACTCTTACGTGTAGCCGACAGTCCACAGGAAACCTTCCACAAGAATCGGGCTGGGCGAAAGGGGGGGATAGCAACGGGGGGGTTTGAGAGTCAGGTCACGTAGCTGACTCTCCTGGCGCCTCCCGGCGCCGGGAGGCGCCCATGTATCGAGGAATGGGCCCGGCGGCGGGGCCGAAACAAGCTGCACGCAGCAGACTTCGTACCCCCCTATCCCCCCTTTCGTTCGGCCCGAAGACGGTGGAGGTCAGTCCACAGGAAACCTTCCGCAGGAAACCCAGCCCTGGAGCCCCAGGACGTCAGATGATTTGTGGTGCGGCAGCGCCACGCTTTCCACAAAGAGGCCATAGAAGCCCAAGAAACCCACGGCACCCTGGAGGCGAGCAGGGTGCTTCTTGGCATGGGTTGCCACTGTAGACATCATCATCCTTTGAAGGTCCGCGAGAATCTGTCGGGCCGGCCCTGGAACCGCCAGCACACCCCACAATCGCTCTTGGACTCTGCGGAAGATTGGCGGCGCGCACAAGGGGGTAGGGGGAGGGGGGAAGGCTTCTTAGAAGGAGGCTGCTTCTTAGAAGGCGCGGGCCTTACGTCTACAGACAAGGCCGGCGCCTTCTAAGAAGCAGGGGTGCTTCTAAGAAGCCTTCCCCCCTCCCCCTACCCCCTTGTGCGCGTTGCCGAGAAGACCCGAGAGACTCGCGGGGACATCCAGAAATTCTGTGCAGAGCGTGATGGAGCCCCCAGCCTTGGGGTCGTCCGCCAGCGGCCTCTCTGCGCCCTCGCCTTCTGCGGATGCCTTCGGAAGACAGGTCCAAACGGCACAGGCATGACTTGTCGGAGGTCCGCGCGACTTCTTCGGATCGGCAAAGGACCCACCAGCCCACAAACCCTTGGGGGTCTGGCGGCACCCCGAGAAATCAGGGCGGACTTCCGACAAACTATATCGCCCTTGGCATTCTGGACTCGAGGTCCTGCACCAGCGGGTTCGTTGCGCCTAAGACATTCGCTGCCGCTCTGGCCTTCAGCCACTTCCCGAACCTGACATGAAGCAAGACCGCAATGGCTGCGAGGCCAAGCGCAACCCAGCCCATCGGCGCGAGGACCACGTTGAGCACGTTCCCATCAAGACCACCCAGTTCGTAACTGTCTGTGATCTTGTTTGTGAGGGCGAAATTTCGGAAACATATTTTTTCTGCCGCCATGGTGTCGAGGACCATCAATAAGCCGGAGAGAAGGAAGAGCGCCACAGTGCCCAGCAGCGTCGCTTGCGCACGCGTGCCCAGCTTCGACCAGTCGGACACTTCGGCTAGCGTCTGCACGAAGTCGGCCTCCTTCTCTGCCAGCTTCCGCACCTCGTCATGCTCTGGCCGATGCGTTTTCACAAGCTGGTCCCCCGACTCCTCGACTACCTTCAGTATGCCGTAGGCGAAGACGAGGGTGGCGCCTGCCTGGAAAGCAGCGGCCAGCCCTGTGGCCACAGTGGCGATCATGGCCCACAATCCTTCGGTGGCGTTCTCCTTGGTCATGAGCACCCCCACGAGGGTCTGCGGGATGATGCTCACCAATATGACCGGACTTGTGCCAAGCAGTATCTGGGGAATGTTCAAATTGAGGATGCCGCACAATACGCTCGTTGGGAAGTCAGGGCCGGCCACCAAGATGCAGACCTTGAACAGCTTGAAACCCTTCTCCTTGAGCACTGCCTCGGTCGCCAAGACGCTTACCTTCGTCACGCCAACAAACTGCTGCACTTTCACTGACTTGCCAGAAAAATAACCAATCGAATACTGCCCAACGCACGCCATCATCTTCGCCGCACTTCCCGCGATGCATGCCAACACAAGACCTGCCCAAATGCCGACGGAACCGTCCTTTTGTGACTGCGCCCCGAGAACGACACCAGCAAATAAGTAGACAGCGCTCCCAGGAACGATTGGGTTTAAGAACATTACCAGCCCGATGGCCCACACCATTACAAAAATTATGGCTATGTCCAAGCCTGCTGCCTCGATTTGCCCATTCAAGGAAGAAAAAAAAATGAATGTTGCCTTCGAGCCGACCAGAAGCAGGACGAATCCGCCGACCCCCGCTTATCGGGGGTGGAAAGGCGTGTGAGATTATTGGCTGTCCCCTGGGGTCCGAAATCGAAATCCCGTTCTAGGGAGGGGGGGGGGCGAGCTCCCAAACGCCTCCCCGGGGCCCCTGGAGCCTCTCCAGACCCCGAGACGCCTCAAGACGGCCCAAGAGGGCCAAACGAAACGCCAAGACAGTCATAGAAAGCGTCGGGATTGCCCAAGGTAGCTCCGCGGAGATCCAAGCAAGCTTCGAGACGGCAAGCGACGCGCCCAGGACGGCCAAAGAGTTCTCCAAGAGTCCCGTTCCTGGAGGCCCATGCACATGTTCAGCATGCTCGCCTTCTGCGTCTTGGGAGCGTACAAGACGGCCCAGTGGGCTCCCAAGATCGTGCCGAATTCGCCCCAACACGGCCCCAAGGCCCTCCGAGACGTCCCCAGAGACCCCCAAGAGTGGCCCAAGCCGGCCCCAGGGGCTGCCAAGGGGGCCCAAGAGAGCCTCAAGAGAGGCCCAAGAAACTGAATCCGAACGGACATGTCGAGCCTTCCCCCCGATAAGACCTCCAGAGCCAACCCAACCAGAGGCCTCTCGAGCTGCCCCCCACGAGGCCCCAAGAGCCCTCCGCGAGGCCCACGAGGGGCCCCCACAGGCCCCCAGATGCTTCGACAAGCACTCCAAGAGGCTGCTGGGAGGCATCCCGAGAGATTCCAACATGCCTCCAAGATTTGCTCGCCGTGCCGATGCTTTCTTGTGGCGGGTCGGCGGGATGGCGTACGCACCTTGAACAGCTCTGCGAGCACACAGACCTTGCCCAAGATATCTGTCCAATCCCATTTCTCCAAGGACTTGACCAACCTTTCGCCATTCGGTGTGTGTCGGTCGTGGTAACGATAATGTACTTTGATGTACGGTACTGCGCCCTCGCTCCCGTTCTCTGCTACATGGTAAAAGTCTGTTATGTTTTGTCGAACCAGCTGTCGCACCCTATCCAGAAACACCATGAAAGGAATCGCGACGTTCAGGCCTCCAACAGCCATCGCCCTCATCCAGTTAGACTGCAATATGTTGATGACATGCCTCATGATCGGTGTCTCCTCCTTCATCTGGTTGAGCGTATCCATATCAACCTCCTGGGCCAGCCACAGGAACATGACAAATGTCGCGATACACGCCGATGCCATCATTGCGCTGGCGAGCTTCGCAGCGGCGCCAGACACGTACAGCGAACTGTACATAATCCCTACTGCGAAGACGATGGTGAGCAAGAAACGCTTCATAAACGTGATGAGTGCCCTCTTTTTTGTCTGGAGTTCACCGTCTGTTCTTATCTTCGCAATGGTGTTGGAGAAGAGAACGCAAAAACCTGCACAGAACACATTGCCGCTGAAGACTATGAAGGCTCCGGCCCACTGCGTGAAGATGACAGTGGTTGCCACTCCACAGGCGTTCGTCACAAGGTCCTGGAGGGCCTCTCTATCGATGCCGCTTATCCGCCCCTCATCGAGGCAGTACTCTAACAGCGGCAGCGGCGACGACACCGGTGGCAGCTCATCGGGGGTCAATTGGAGGTAAACCCCGGCATACTTGTCAGCCATCCAGCGCACTGTGTCATCGTCCCACCAAAGCTCCCGTTCGCCATGTGCGGACATTACCCACGCGACCCATACCACAAACATCGTTGACGCGCATATGAGATAGCAGACCGCCGTCGTCAGGTAGAATTGCTGCGGAGCCGCCTCTAACTTCTTCAAGTGTGAATACTTGATGGCGATCAAGACAACGGTGGTACACATGCTCATTAAGAGTGGCACCCACGGGTAACTCACTGATTTCAGAGTGAAGCTAACAAACACCATAACCACAAAGATAACGACGCTGACCAATCGAAGGAATGCCTGCATCCCGTACCTCCACGCCTTGCTCTCGAACACGTCGAAAACAAACATCGCCATCAGCCAAAACGCCGAGACGAGCGCCATCAGATTGCCGAACAGGCTCGCACGGTCTGTCGCGATGGCGTCGTACACGCCCGGCCCAAGCCCCACGGGCGAGAAGGCAAGCACCGCCACGATATCGGGCACGAGTACGGACAAAAACAGGAATGTGCGGAAAGAGCCATGGATCGAGCCTGTGACCGAAGTGCTGCCGCCGCCGCTGCCCTCGGCAGGGCCACCGTCAGGGGCGTCTTCCATCAGCAAGCTGATCTGTCACTCTGCACTGGAGTTTGCGCTGGCTGCAGCGATCCTCGATTCGGTCGCACTCGAAAGCAAATTCCCTACAGAATTGCCGCCTGTAGCGGTTGGGCCGCACCTCCGCTTTGCGAGGTCCTCCGACAACCTGCGGAATTCTAGTGCGGCTCGGGCTCGAGGCAAACATGCCTGAGCCACAACTACGGAAGAGGGGGAGGAATACCCAAACTTATGCTTCCGGTCCTCTAGGCTCAATAACTTGCCTAAGAAAAAAAAGACCCACACATTCGCCGTAAAGAACAACATCGAAGCTGCCGTTCTTTTCCCTGTGGTCCTCAGGGCCTTAAGACTCTTGACGAAATTGCTCGGGAGTCCTAAAACCGTGTGGTGAGAGACTGGACGGTGACATCGAAATCCAGAAGGACCTTCCTGCCTGGTCCATCACCGCACGGTCTTGGGACCCTGGAGGCCCCCGTCGCCCGAGACGTCCTCGAAGAAAGACCAGAATCCAGAAACCATGCCCGTGGCCTGGGAACGCGGCATGCCAGCCTCGACGTCGGCCCGCTTAAGATCGGCGAACATCGTTGCCAGAACAGGAGATGAAATAATAACAAATGTCGAACAGCCAAACGTTATATTCAAATCGCCAGACCAGAATTACTCGTAACACTTGAGCCAACATGGTAACGGCTGGCTTACCACACGTTGTGGTCAACACACCGGCTGGGGGGGCCCGAAACAGATTGCCCCCGATGAGGACACCCACCCATGGGAAGGAGTCGAGCACCCCTGGGGGGGGCCTACGTCACAGAGAACATGTGACGAGGGATGTCTAGGGATGATGATGGTGATGGTAACGAGGGGAGGAGGCCTCTCTCACTCCTCCTCCTCCTCCTCCTCCTCCTCCTCCTCCTCCTCCTCCTCCTCCTCCTCGTCCTCCTCTTCCTCTTTCCTTTTCCTCCTCCTTTTCCTCATCCCTCCCCTTCCCTCCTCCTCAACCCCTCCTGCCGTTATGTGCCCTCCCGCGTCATGTAGGGCCGGTTTGCTGCCTGACGTTCCCTTTTTCTAAAATAATCAACGCCTGTTTACGAGGTCCTCCTTGTATGGAATGTGACCCCAATTTCTTCAGCTACACGTTCTGCCTTTAGCGTGACGTCTCGCTGTCCATCCCGCACAGACGTATCTCAAAACCTTTCCGCGGACATGTCCCGTTCCCCTCGCCTGGCGCTCCAAGGAGCGAGGGGGCGATCAACGAGGACCCAAGGTTTTGGACAGGCCTCCGTCCACACTGACCAGCTCTTACAAAAAATCAACACTGTTTTGCTTCGTTGCCTCCAACCGAAGGGCCGCGCACCCCATGCTTCTGGCATCCGGGAGGGTGCGAACGGAACGAAGCCGAAAAGGATGAAGTAAACCGTGCCATCTACTGTGCCGCCAGCGTGCCACGGTACCCCATGGCATATCCATGCAAAACAGTCAGAACGTGTATTAAGGACGGGTGATAAGGACGCAAGACCCTTGGACGCCGAAGTTGGGTTTTTTACGGCGGCGGGGGCGGGCGACCAGTGGTAATGGCAAGGACGGGCCTCAGAGGCAAGGACACAAGGGCACCCTGGATGAAGGCGCGCGTCCTTACTAGGCGCGTTGACTGTAGATACGAGCGGGCAGACCAGAGACAGCACACGGGAGCAGAGGGTGCACTGTCGAAAGAATCAGGTGCTTCCTGTTTTCCGTTGCTCGGATGCGGCGGTGCCCCAAGTCTGGTGCAGTGGGTAGACGAGAGACCGCACACGGGAATAGAGGGTGCCTTGTCGAAAGAATGAGGTGCTTCCTGTTTTCCGTGGCTCGGATGCAGCGGTGCCCCAAGTCTGGTGCAGTCACGTAGACCGACGCCGCTCGAGCCAAAGCGGCGTCGGGATGCAGGCTCGTCCCTCGAATCTCGCCTTTTGACCTCCGTTGCAGAGTCAGGAGGGAAGGGGCCCTGGGACACACAAATAAATGCACACACATAAAAAGATTCCCCATATTTTCCTATACTTTCTGGGCTTCTGTCTTCCCCCCCACTTCCCATATTTTCGCATATTTTCTGGGGATCAACGAATAATTGTGTCTGTGTGTTTTTTCCCCTCCTGAAGGAGGGAGAGTCGAGCGACGGGCCGCGTCAATCTACATTACATACGACGTGTAGTAGCAGCGATCGGCCAACAAAGCAAACAATCGAACGGGCAACCCTCTTGCGTTGACAAGGAGGCTGCAAACAGTTTTTTGGCCGGCGGGTCGGGAGCGGGTCCCTTCAGGTTAAGAGCTAAGCGGGGCGCGCGAAGCCCTAATTGGGGACACAGGGCGCGGAAGGCCGCTGCAAACAGGAAGGTACGCAACGCTGGAAAAAAGGCCGGCCGTGGAACACGTCACACTCGCCCGGCGCAGCAGCATCTGCAGAGGGGGCACACCCACCGCTCCAACCGAGCACCGGGTTCACCCGAGTACTACAATGGGTGGATATCCGAAGGGATCTTCGGGCTCCCAAACTCGCGATGCTGAAAGGTTTAAGCAGTGACCGGGCAACGGCAGGCGGGCAGCCCGTGACCAGGCGAGCGCGTGCACGTGTCCATGCCTGCGCTCATGCCTGACCGCCGGCCCGATGTGGGCCAAGCTCAGAAGCCTTTTTATCCGCTTTCCTCTGTACGGAACGTACTTTTTTACCTCGTACTTGAATGACTGGATACTTGCCATCAATTGTACGACTAGTTCAAGGTCGATACAGCCTCTGGTGCGTCCGTCGGCCGTCATGGGACGCGTATCACACCACTGCGCACTGTATACGATATCTCCCTTCATCATTTGCCGGATCTAGCAGATGTGGCCCAATCGGGCACACTCAGTGGGCTCCTGAAGGCTCGTACTGGATGAAGACTTGAAGGCCGACACGGCGTCGATGGTGAGTGTCACGTTTACGCCCAGACCACCAAACTCTAAGATGTTCTTGGGCTGTGCAATCAGCTCGTGTGGCGCAACGATGGTAAGGTAACTGTCTTCAAAGTTGCGAGCTGCAGCTAGGGCTTCAGCGGAGCAGTTAGACCTTACCTGTAGTAGCCGATGTGATTTACAGCATGCAGCTATCAGATGCACCGATGCTAGTTTATCACCGCGCGCCCTGGCATTCGAACGGGCTGCATGCTTCGAGTCTAGAGGCAATGACTTACACCATTAACTCATAATGCAAAACCAGCTGCAACCAGAATGCGTATCAATATCTTAAACGAAACGCGCATCAACATGCAATCGACTGATGCAGCATACTAGAATCCGAACTACAATGCACATGCCAGTCGAACTTCAAC